TGGACATTAGTGATGAATTATTATCCTTTTAAGGCCAAATTTTTTTGTCTTAAAAAATAAAATATTTGAGACTAAATTATTTTGTTCCTAAAAATCTATTTATTAGTGATATTTTCAAAATTTTGTCGCTAAATGCCTTGTTTTTGACTTTTTAAAACGACTTTTTAGCGACTATTCTCATCACGATGGAAATTAGTCTCTAAATGTCTTTTGTAACAAAATTTTTACTTTTAAAGACCAAAATATTTGATTTTAAAACTCTTATATATTGTAATGACTTATCGAACATGTGGTATAATTGTATGCGAAGATGATAAGAAAGAGAATTAAACTCGAGGTAAAGACTTGAACTATAGAAGACCACACAAGATGTAACTCTGTTAGTGTGTCAAATTTTTTGAAAGCATGCAAGTGAGAATCAATTGATATTGGCTGGAGAGACATGTACACTAGATGGACCAAGTTTTGGTAACTTCAATAAACAATCTGAGGCAAATATGGTACACACAAAATCAGACACAAGTCATTTAAGTACTTGTGCACTAGATTAAGGCCTCGTTTGGGAATAGGCTATTTTAGTAACTTTTTGACTTTTTACGAAAAGATGTGCAGAAAAGTAGAGAGGTGATGTGACTAGTTTTAGTTGGCTTTTTGGCTTTTAGCTAAAATAGTCAATCCCCAAGTCTAAAACTTAAAGGCCAAGATTCATTCAAGGTGTGACCCTCACCACAAGTTTAAATATACATTTTTAATTTGAAATTCTAAATAATTTTGTAATCATTTTTCTGGGTGTAACACTCCAAGCATTATACTACACAAGTATGAGTATCTCTGTCTCATTCTCGTTTATTTATGGGATCCTAACATTATATTTTTCTATCTTGTGCCCATATTTGCTTGTCACGCTCATCAAAGTTTGTGTATTAACAACTTGATGATCAAACTCAAGACCATAGTTTTCTTTCTAGAGTTGGTAATGCCTCTCTCTCACAACTTTAATCATATCAAACTATAGTCAATGTCACCATCATGATGGATTGAAGTGAATTTAAATAATACTAGAAGGTGAAGGTAAAAAATAAATTAAATTTCTTTGTGACATGCTTAAATCATACAAAAATATTTTATGCAGCATTTCTTTGGTTGTATGTGGAAAGATCTCCTATTTCATGGATTTGAAATTTTCCAGCAGCCGCATGCACTAAGGTTGTCATATAGTAAAAATAAGCAAATGAAAATTTTAGCATAGAGAACACCAAATTAGAACAACTCCAAATCTACTTTGATCTAAGCTAAGAGTAATGCTATGTGCACGAAAAAAATAACAGAAAAGTGTGCAAAAACTAATGTGTTCTGTACATATAGCATTGCTGATAAGAAAAAAGCTTCTCATGGTTGGAGATTTAAGTTGAGATTTTCCGATCTAATACTTAATTTGATCTACTTTGAATAATAAGACGAGAATAATGTTACATGCACTGAAAAAAATTACAAAAAACATACACAGAAAAATCAATGTGTTCTGTGCAGTAGCATGACTGACAAGATATACATATCACAATCGGAGATTTAAGTTGATATTTTGCCGATCTAACCCATGATGTGATCCACTTTGAACAACAGGACCAGAGTAGTCCTATGTGCACTCAAAAAATTACAGAAAAATCAATGTGATTTGGGTTGATAAGATAAACGTATTATAGCCAGAGATTCAAGTCAAGATTTTGCCGATCTACCCTTTGATTTGGTATACTTTTATCAATAAGATTAGAGTAGTGCTATGTATATTGAAAAATAAAGTACAAAAAAATAATGTATTCTGTAACATCACTGATAAGATAAACGCATCACAACCAAAGATTGAAGTCGAAATTTTTCTGATCCGACCTTAGATTTGATCTACTTTGACCAACAAGATGAGAGTAGTGCTACGCTCGAAAAAATAAAATTACATAGAAGTACACGGAAAAATTAGTTCTGTGCAAAGCATTATTGATAAGATAAACATATCACAACCGGAGATTCAAATCGAGATGTTGCTGATCCGACCCTTGATTGGGAAATTTCTCCATCCGAAAGCTTCCTGGCCATATCACATCCATTGATTCTTCAACCATGAAGGGTGGTGTCCATGACACCCCCACCCCTGTGGTGGTGGCATCACTAAACCTAGCCACCACGGCAGACCCTTCTCTGCTTGGCTTGTGCACAAGTGAGTGGGCTTGGACACCAAGAGACCGAGCCGTTGTCATCGGAGAATTGGAGGGTAACCCCATGGTTGTCATCATCATCATCCTCTGAGGATGATGGTACTTTTTAGTTGCTCCTCTCTCTCTTTTATGGGCATTTTGGTGACCACCCAAAGCTTGGGAGCTAAAGAACTTCCTCATGCAGAAATTGCATGAGAAGACCTTGTTTTTGGGAGGTTTTGATTTGGAAATGGAACCATACTCTAAAGCATTGGAGGGCTCAGTGGTGTTGAGGCCTAGACTCAACCAATCACCCAACTTATGATCATCACGGTCAGTGTCACATTTTTTTGATTCATCATGATCTTGGTGGTTGACTAGTAATATCTCATTCACTTCTTGATCTTGGATGACCATTGCACCACCACTCTCTCTCAAAGTAAGGTTTATAGTATTTGATTGTATGAAGGTACATATAGAGGCTTAAATAAATGGAAGTCCTTGGCTTTACATAGGGATAGATCAAGTTGGAGTTCAATGGATGGAGGGATGTCTTAAGTGAAAGGAAGTGGAAGATATTTATTATTTAAATTTATCTCATTTTTATGTGGTGTTCTCATAAAAGGTTTTTATAAATTATTGGATGAAATATTGTCAAGTGGTACATTATAATGTGGTCAATTTATACATGTGGGGTTCAATATTTTTTTATTAGTTATTTTGTCTAATTATAGAATTGTTCGGTATAAGTTCTGGAGATATTTATATATTTTTTATTTAAAAAATTCGTGCAAAAATGCTTGATATAATTTTTCCTTATAATTTATGAGTTAGAAATAACTTAATAAACTAAAAAAAAAATTATTATTATTGAAAAAAAAAATACAAGTACTTTTAACTTTTGTCTGCTGATTATTAACTTTTAATTTATTAAAAATTGCATCAAACAGACTTTCTCTTTCGGCATGTAAGTTAAAAGCCACCTTATCAATTTTTTTAATTTTTTTAGTCACATTACATTTATATTTTTTTACACATTTAAAAAAAAAAAAATCAACTTCTTCTTTTCAAAATAAACCTCAATATATTACATACGAAGTGTAGCATAAATGTTATGTATAAAAAATATACTAAGAAAAATACTTAAAATTTATTAAAACATATAGATTGGACTCAAGTTTATTGTGACTCACATCACTCAAATTCAAATTTAAATAATTTTCCAGATTTTTAATTTATTTTATTTTTTAATAGGTATATAGCATCTGAAATATGTTTTCCTTTTCTAAAGTTGCAATTCTTATGTCATGTTCTACTGTTGGGCATGTCTAGCTTGGGATTCTCTGCTAATCATCATCATCTGTATTCTCTCTTATAAACTTTCTATGAGCATTTTTAACGATGTTTCAAATTTTTATTAAATTTAAGTAAAAATTTAATATTATGTGCTTTAATGAAAGTTTTTAAAGTTAATTTCATCAGAAAATTGGTCGATTGGGCGGTCAACCGACTAGTGTAAATTTTGCACAAATTTTTACTTTGAGGTGGTCATCTGGGGGTCAACCAGGAGGATGTCTGGCCAGTCGACCGGCCAGTGTAAATTTTTTACAAATTTTTGTCTTGGGGTGGTCATCCGGAGGAACATCTGGGGGATATTCAGTGGTGAAAATCCAATAACTATGAACAGTGATTTGATGAAAGGTGCATCCATCCTCAATCTGATGAAAGAATTGAGAAATCATGAATTTGCTAAAAGATTTGATGAACTATTGAAGTAGGAAAAAGTAAGTTTTTTTTATCGAATTTAAATTTGATGAAATATTTAGTGATCTGTTAGATATGGTCTAACAGTATTATTCACTTTTAGTGTCATCTAATTGATTTTATATATATATATATATATATTTTTTAAATGTACAAAATAATAGAGAAGTAATTAATTTGCTTGGTTTTGGTTTTTAGAAAATTTTACTTTTTTATTTTTCATTTTTTTTTGTTTTCACTGAATTTTTAAAAATATTTTAAGCAATTTTTTTTTAATTTTTAGACACACCTAACATAAATACACTTTAAAAGTATAATATTTGTGATTTTTTTTTAAAAAAAATCACTAAATACCAAAAATATAAAAAAAATATATGAAAATTGCATATATACACTTAAAAAGTATAATATTTGTGAAAAAAATATTTAAAAAATTCACCAAATACCAAAAAAATACCAAATTCAGTACATTTTTCATATTTTTGTGTATTTATTAATTTTTAAAAATATTTTTTCAAAAATATTTTACTATTTAGATACATCTAAGTATGGTACATCTAAAAAAGTAAAAAAATTATTTTATGTAGTTTTAGAAATTACATTATGCTCCTTATGGTTTTTAATTTCATAACAAATAGGTCTTTTTATTAATAAATTATCATGTTAATTAACAGTTTTTAATAATGTTAAAATTTTATTTCAATTAATAATTCAGATAATTTTATTATTGTATAAGTGAACAGTTAGAAATTTTACTTTTTCAATTAATTATATTATTTCTAAATTTTTCAATTAATTCTATTAAATAAAAAATTCTGATAGGAATGTATTTTTAATTTTCCAAATCACATGGAACAATTCGTATTTTAAGCAAATCTCAAGAGATGTATTTGCAATTTATCAAATTTTAAAAAAAAAAAAAAAAAAAAATTCAGTATCACGGGTTAATCTAGTGGTCCGGTACATCTAACTGATTCATCATATTTGTCATCAAATGATATAGAGGTGTTTTTTAACATGCTCCAAATGATCCCGTACTATACTTTTTTAAAAGATTTTACAACAATGATTCATTCCCCTCAAAAGTCTCACTCCTACCACCCCACAGTATCACGGGTTAATCTAGTGGTCCGGTACATCTAACTGATTCATCATATTTGTCATCAAATGATATAGAGGTGTTTTTTAACATGCTCCAAATGATCCGGTACTACAAAAAGAGGTGAAGGAGTGACCCCAAAAGAGTCTCAACCTTTATTGAAGATTTTAATAACAATTGAAGAAACTGATGCGACGCATGTGCTTTCCTGAGTCATCATATTTGTCGTCAAATGATGTAGTGCAGGTAGATGTGATTTAGCAAATACAAAATGATAATCACTTTGGTTTAAGTTTTTAAAATTTACTTTTAAAAAAAAATTATTTTTTTTATTTTTAATATTTTTAATTTATATTTTACTATTTAGATATATTTAAGTAAAATGCATCCAAAAAAAAAAAACTTAAAATATTAAAAATATTCACTAAAAATAAAAATAATTAAAAAAACATGAGAACAAACAAAAAAAAACACTCAATTTTCAAAAAACTAAATTCAGAAGACTGAAACCAAACATACTGAATATTCTTTTTGTATAAGATTAATAAATTATTAATTCAAAGGTTTCACTGTTATATAGATTAAAATTTTAAAGGTGACCAAGTAATAATATTGAGAATATAAGTTAATTATATTTTATTAAATATTAAGAAAGCTGAGTATAATTTGACTTTAAATTATTTATTAAGTTATGACGATGTTAAATCTGACATTGGAATGTAATTTAATTTTTTATTAGCACTTGCGTCACGTTCTAAAGTTCATTGTACAGCTTCAGGTCATTAGAAATATTTTTCCTTTTTATTATTTTATTAATTAAAAAATAATAAAAAGAAAAATTATATATAATACATTTTATGAGATTAATTTAAAAAAAATAAATGTTACACATGTTGTACCAAAAAAATATAGTCTACCTTATCTTCTAAAAATGAATGTATGGTACTTGAAAATCCAATCCATTTGCAACATAAATTAAAAATTGAACCAAAAAAAAAGAAGTGATTTCTTTGAAATCAATTTCATTCAATATGTGGGGTCAATTTCATCATTTAAGAATCTAATTCGAAACCTAATCGAATTTGGTTGTTTTTGTCACACACCCCCTAGAGATTAAGTTATCCTAAATATGGACTAAGTCCTCCTTCACTATTTTAATCAAATATTAGAATATTCATTATGTTGGACATGAAGTGATGGAGTTCAAATCCAGGACCTAATGGCACCAAACAAACACTCCAAAATTTGTTGACAATTGAATTACTTGTACGATGGGTAAGGTTTGGATTGGGCTAACATTATATAGTAAAAATATATGTATCAATCCTAAGTTCAACTCTACATCGAATATAATCTAGCCATTACATGCCTAAACTAAACGAATATCTAAATTTCAAGGGCATCCACCTTTTTTTTTATACCCAAGGTTGCCCACTTAACCAAATAAATATAGAATTTAATTGTAAAATAAATATAATTTTTTAAGAATGTTTTAATTTAAGCTATAGAAAGAAGTATGTATGTGTGTATATATATATATGTACCTTTTTTATTTTTATTATTTTTCTAGTTCATTTTGTAGTTAGATAATATAAAAAATAAAATTAATGTTGTTTAAACGGGCAAGCAGATCGTGCTGGGTTAAAACTCTTTATTATCCCAAGTTTAGTTCGAAAATCAAAGGAAAAAATACTTGCCAGTGATACTTTTAAAAATAAATTATAAAATCATGAAAAAGTACATGAATTTACATATTAAAATTTACAATGAACACCACTTATATGAAAATATTTTTGAAAGTGTACACTGGTATTTCCCCGAAATTAAATGAGCTAAAAATCTTAGTCTAGCCCAACCCAATTGATTAAATGCCCATTTGTTAATTTAGCCAAAACTCTCTATGCCCAACATGATAGTGTGTAAGGGACAGTTCAAACTATTTTACTTCCTAAACTCCCTGAGCAACAAGCGCTTCCTCCATGAAGGAAATGCTAATATTTTTTCTCTTTTTTTTCTGGACAATCTTACACCTATGTATATATTCAGTATGCTTTCTGCTGGCTACATATTTGTATAAGTCAATTGCAGTTTGACACGTGACTCGTAAAGGGTAATTTGGGAAATAAATGCAAGTCTCTAATTAGCGACAAACATGTGGCAGCTTATGTTGGTAGCAATGGATCTGCGCAGCATTAGAGCAGTGAAAAGGTGCAAGGTGACGTGGCCCAACGGTTACTCACAATTCAAATTCAAATTCAGAAAGGAAGTCCAACAACAAGAATGGCATAGTGGAAGTAAACTATTCAAGGCCATGGCCAGTGATCATGGAAGGGCATTTCGAAGGTTAGAAGACCACTTCGACGGTTACCACCAAAGGGTATAAATAGAAAAGAAGGCCAACAGGGAAAGAACTAAGACTCAGATCCATAAACCAGTTATTTACTTTTTATTTTTTTCTTTCCAATTTTTACATTTCCAATTCTTCAATTCTTGTATTGCACTTCAATTCTTAGGAGTAGTTTCAAGTAGTCTATTACTGTAAAATCCTTCGACGCTGTGAAAGTGCGAAGGTATTATTGTAAGTTCTCACTCGTTAATGAAATTCAGTTCATGAAACTATGTTACCTACTGCTATTTTCAATATCTCTAATTTTCTCCCTTTAGCAAAGCCACCAGTAAAAGGCCTCTTCATTGAGGCTAAAAG